ATTAATAATAAGATTTAAGAATATTTATTAAGGGTAAAGGTGAAAATATGTTAAATTTTAAAATAAGTTAATGAAGTTTAATATTTTTTATTTTAATAAAACGTATTAAAAAATTTATAAATAAAATTAAAGAAAATATGTTAAAAATAAAACACGTGGACAAACACAGAGGACCCCAACTCGACTGGTTATTAATCATTGGACAATTACTGTCGTCAGCAACGCAACCATGCAAGCTCAAAATCCAGTTTCGCTGTTGCAGAGTGATATGATATATTTATAGGGCCCCATGACGACGCATCGGAGAATCTATGTTTAAAAATCAAATCCGTCATTCAACCAGTTGAAATAAGAATTTACAGTTCAATGGTCGAAGTGGGATTACCCCGTGCTCGAACCAATCAACAATAAATCAATATATTTTAAATAATATACGTTTTAAAACTATTAATCAAATTTTTATATTAACATAAAAATGTCATTTAAAATCAAAAATCACAAATATTAATTCCCAATGCTGATGTTTCTCCTGGTTAAATTCTCAAACTAAAATTTTATTCTCTTAACTTGCAAAATTTTTTAAAAAAAAGCTCAAAATCCAGAAAGCAATTTCCAGTTTTAGAAATTAGAATTAAATAAATAAAATAAAGACAGACAACTGAGGTGGGTATATTACAAAGCAATTTACTGTTTCAGAATTCAGAAGCAAAAAAGCATACTGAATTCAACACGAAAAGTGCAGCAAACTAGCGCGGAAAATGGGAAATAAACCTGGAATGCGGCCAGACAAAGGAGACTTATCAAGGATCGAAGAATAGATAATGGTGTCTAAGGCAACGGAGTTTGAAGGGTGACAAATTTCGGACGGCTTGAAGTTCTCTCATAGTGAAACGCGGCGTCTAGATCGAAGGAAGGAGAGAAGACTCAAGAATGGATCATTGGAGGATAGATCCAGGCCGTGGACGACTTTAGGATTAGGGTTTTTTTTTAAAAAATGAAAAATAAAAATAACAAAACGATGTCATTTTGCATTTTGTAGAAGGAAAAAAAAAATAAAACATGAAACAGTTAACCTGTTAAACCAATCGCTTTTTCCAATTCTTTGACCAGTTTAGACATGTCGCAGTTCAAAAGGATCAACCAGACCAGACTAATGATCTGTTCACAGTTTAATCTATCAGTTCAATCCGATTTTTAAAACCTCAAGTAAAATGAGATGAAGTTGAGGTTTTTTTTTTGGGAAGATGAAGTTGGTGTTTCCACATGGCAGGTTGGTTGAATGGAATTATGAGCTCGCTTAGCCTCTTGTACGCATTCGCTTAGAGCAAGCAGTGCAGCCCCCAAGTAAATTTGTTTCACACAACCAAATTCACTCCACTGGATATCCCCGTCCGACATTTTAGACTGACGTTCGTCAGTTCATGTTTCGAATCCGGACCTATCACACAGTCACCCCCCTCTCTTTTACAGCCTATTGCTGCCTATAATCTCCTTCTCATAATCCAAAACTAAACGAAATGCCACGGGGACTCTTCTAGGTGACAAATATTATGAGAAACCAAATAATACAGCTTATTTTCAACTCCATACAGATGTACAAATTCATTCTAGCTACGTGCACCAAAAAAGAGGTATCGTTATGTGCTGAGCCAGGCTGCTATAATCATTCGAGTTTGTCGTATTAAGTTGCAGTAATGTATTTGTTTAAATTTTATTGATAAATAATTTCTAACATGTTTTATTGAAATTATGAAAAAATTTAAACCGTAAAAAAATATTTTTCTAATATCTAATGAAGATAGAAAGATAAAGATAAACATAAAATAATGAAATGCCCTTTAAACATGACAAAAATTAATTTTCTCTTTTATCCTTATCCATGCCGGAGGTAATTCGGTTGATTGAGATGTCCCTACATTCTGATAATCATTTGCAATAACAAAATCAGGCTACCCCCGAGTCAGGGACCGCCTTCATAAATAATTTTCTTTGAATCTTAAATTCACGGCTCAGGCCGATCGGGTTGGATGTCCAACAATAAGTGTTTGCTCGTCAATTTTAGAGGTTAGAACGAAGTCGCTGATCAATTTAAACGAATTCATTTCAAGTGACTGTCTCAACGATAGTGCCACGTGTAAGGAAAAAAGGGGGGATGTGGCTGATTTCACTACATGATTGTATAAAACTGATGAAGTCAGAAAAGGATCTAGTGTATTGACCCAAAAAAAAAAAAAAAAGAATAGGATCTAGTGTGCAGGCGCTGGGATTGACATAAAGCGAATGGAATATTAGTAGAATTCATTCTTATAAATACGCGTTTAATGCAAGGCCAGCGTGCCATTGCGAGAAACACTCCAAGGCTTTTTTCTTTTTTTTTTACCGTAATTCTATGAACCCAAAAGAAGGTTACCCAAAAGTTGCCACGTAAAAAGCATGTACCGAAATGCAATAAAAATCATTTAAATGGGGGAGCGAGTTTGACGTTGTCAATAGGTAGTTCATGCCAAGAATAACTTTAAAATTAAAAATTATTTTTTTTATTCAATAAGATTTCAGTTTTTTTTATTAATGTGATATTTTATTCACTGTTAAGAATATCTGCAATGGTATTAGAGGTATACTCATGATAGATCCAACATAATATTATTGATGTTGGGTTTGCAGTAAGTTTTTTATCTTCTTCCACTTACACTATCTTTTTTTCTTAAACAAAATGTTACCATCTAATATCTTTTTGTTTATTTTTGCAACACAGCGGGTGAGTTTTACAAGCTAGTGATTAATTCTCGTTCAGAATGCTCTAATTGCATTGATTATCGTGATAGGATTGCTTAAGACCAACACACTATCTCACTTGCAATTAAAGAACAATAATTTAACAGGGACCCTCAACCCACTCTACCAAGAAGTTGAGTTACCTTCTTTATAAATTTTTTGAGATAGACTAAGTAAGCAACATGATAGCTACTTATCTATCTAGTCATCAATTGAAAATGAAAACATAGGAAAATAAGAGCCTTATATTTTTAGGTAGTTTCATAATATGATAGTCTCATCATCATCACCACCCCTTTTTACCTCTCCCAATCCACTCAATTTGAGTTTCATTTTATGCTACCCTCATCATCATTCATTTTCAACTCACACATTCCCACTCAATTTAAATCGTTCATGTCTTTACTCGATGATCCTTAGTTGAATATAGTACTTCTACTTTTAAACATGGTGGACCATCAAATGAAGCATGTGTCACCTGTCAACAGTCAATTTTTTTTAATTGAATCATCTTAATTTGATATAAATACGTTGATCACACAAATAAATGAAATACTTGAATTTGAACAAGAGAAGAACATGCAACAACAATGACCATAGCGTATAAAAAAATAAGATGTGATACTAAAAGTAACTATTTGTGAGATAAAGTAATTTTTACTTTTCATTCATATAACTTAACCATTCATAATTAATTAATGTTCATAAAATTTAAAATTTTTTATTTTTTATTGATAATTTTTAATCCAACAACCTTATAATAATTTCTTTATCATAGTAATAACAAATATTTACTCATCATTTTCATTCTAATGATCTAAAAACACTCAAACAAATGATTTGTCTAATAGTTAAAGAAAGTAAAAAATTTACCACGTACCTAATATCATTACTAATACATTTAATCTATTGTTAGGTAAAACTCCGATATCATTGTAGATATTCTTGATAGTAAATAAAATATCACATAAAAAAAGTTAAAATCATTCATTTAATAAACAGCTTCACCTTTTATTAAATAAAAATATGATTTTTGATTTTAAAATTGTTTTTGATTTAAATGACTTGTTCACAATTTTAAATATATTTTTTATTTGAATGATTTTTGATGTAATATTTTAATAAATACTTTTTAAATTGCGGCATTAGAATAATGTTTGTTTAGTATTTATAGTATACTGGTGAAAACGCAAACACTACCACTGGCCCCACTGGGTCTTGTAGAACACTAAAATTCGGAATAACGAAAAAGGGCGCTCTTCGTTACTCTACAGCGACTTATGTTTCTTCAGAGACACTGCCTTGTGAGACTTGAGACTGAGATGGCATCGCTGATTGATCCACGTGGAGGTACTTCTTCCACTAACGCCCCCTCAAAGTCCCTTGGAAGAATTTACCCAAATACTTCCGAATTTATTTTACTTCAAATATAAATGAAAATAAAATTAAAAACTTAGTGTGTGCTTGATTTTTAATTTAATAAAAATTTATTTAATAAAAATTAATTGTTATAATAAAATTTATATCTGAATATATTTTTTTAAAAATTATTCTGATATACTAAAAGTTAATTAATTTATGATAATAAAATATGTTTTTGAATGTATAATTATTAAAAAAGATATTAATTTATAATGATTTGTAATTTTTATTATATAAATATAATATATTTAAAATATTTAAAAAATATAGTAAAGATTTTAAATAATATAAATTTTGATTTATATTGCTAAAAATTTGATCTCTAGTTATTTTTATTTTTTTAATCTATAATTTTAAAAAAATTTGATAAAAATTTATAATTTTTATTATATATTAATGTTAAAAATTAATATAGTTAATTATTTAATTTATAATATTAAAAAATTAATACTAAATTATTATTATTAAAATAATAATTATATTTTTAATGAATTAATAATTTTTTAAATAAAAAAATAAAAAATTAAATTTAAAATAATATGATCAAATAATATCTTACTTTTTAAATTTATTTTTTAAAAATTTTAAATAATTATATTTTAAAAATTTATTTTTTATTATTATTTAAATGTGTTTTTAGAATGTATTTTTTTATAAATATTTTAATTAAATAATTTTTGATTTTTGAAAAATAAAATTTTATTTTTTAAATGTGAAAAGTAAATAAATTAAACGGACCCTTAAATACTAGCACTGGGAAAGCCTTGGCCGCCAAAGCATTCAATGATTGATGGTACAGGATTACTTTTTGCGGACCATTAGAAAAAAAAAAAAAAAACATGGATGATATTCACATCTTGCGCCAAAGCTGACTTTAAACACGACAGCTCTCTCCTTTTCTCCAGTTATGGCCACCGCGGCTTCCTCCTCCCCCCAACCACCACCTCTAATTTCCTTCTAAACTTATTTCCCCTCTCATCCCTTTCTCGTCGCACGCCACCCACCATCCTTCCTCAAACGGAATTAAAATTCATGGGTTTTCTTTCCTGCAATGCCAAGTCTGCAATCGCCACCAGCCGATGCGATGCACTCTGCTGGGACGTCGACGCGGTCCCAAAAGCAAGGAATTATAAGCAGAATAAGAAGCTGCCGGAGATCAGAAAGTTTGAGTATTCGGACCTGGTGGATGCCACAAATGGGTTCTCGGCAGATAGCTTCTTGGGGAAAGGCAGCCACGGCAGCGTCTACAGAGCAACCCTCGACGACGGCAAGCTCGTCGTTGCCGTCAAAACATGCAAATTCAAAAAGTCATCCGCCAAGGGCCTCCTTAATCACTGCCCCAAGTGTGCGGGTTGTACCAAGTGTACTAGCCCCGCAGAGAACGAGATCGAGATTCTCTCCAGAATCCCAAGCTCTCGCCGCATCGTCAACCTCATCGGCTTTTGCACGGACTCCAACCTCAACAAATTGATTGTCGTCGAATACATGCCAAAGGGTTCCCTCCACGATCTCTTGCACTCCTCACCTAATCCCCCCTGTTGGGCCTCACGCGTCCGTTTCGCATTGCAGGTGGCGGAGGCGGTTCGAACTCTCCACTCTTCCAACCCGCCAGTCATTCACCGGGACATCAAGTCTTCAAACGTTTTAATTGACGACGACTTGAACGCGAGACTGGGCGATTTCGGCCTCGCTCTCAGGGGACACGAAGCGGATTTTAGTGGGAAGTGCACGCTACCGGCGGGGACTTTGGGATATCTTGATCCATGCTATCTCGCACCGGGGGATCTAAGCGCGAAGAGCGACGTGTTCAGCTTCGGGATCTTGTTGCTGGAGATAATCAGCGGTAGGAACGCAATCGACGTGAAGTACAGCCCACCAGCGGTAGTTGAGTGGGCAGTGCCGTTATTAAAGCAGGGCGAGTTTGAGGCTATCCATGACCCGCGGATAGGGGCGCCGTCAGACCCAAAGGTGACAGAACAGCTGGCGGTGTTGGCGGCGAGGTGCGTGAGGTGGAAGGCGGAGAAGCGGCCGCCGATGGGTGAGGTAGTGGAGTGTTTAAAACGAGTGAGGAAGAGGATTCGTGGGCGGCCGATATGGAGCGTGAGGAGGCGGATGGGGCGCATGGAGAAGAAAGCAGAGGCGTTGAGTGAAAGGAGGGAAGAAGTTGGGAGGGTAGTGAAGGTGGGAAACAGAAGGAATGGGAAGGTGTCGAGCGTGGGGGTCGTAGGTCACGAGGCGAGTGAAGGGAGGAATGATCAAATGGTGAGGTCGAAATCGATTGGTTGTGAAGGGGAGGTCAAAATGCAGTGTGATCATGACGGAAATGGGCAAGTCGGGTTGTTTGTGGGAAGGAAGGCGCAAGCGAGGCTCCCAAGGTCCAGGTCCGTAGGAGTTCACCTCAAGTGGGCTGAGCTTTGTAACCATGAGCGGATAGATTTATAGCTATAGTTTTGGAGGACACGAAATGCGTGGAAATTAAAGGCACTGCTTGGATCCTATTCATCCGCATCACAATCAGTTTTGTTTATCTGTGTATTAACTCTCAAACTAAAGAAGCGCCCAATTCATCTTTTGCCTTTCTTTTTTCAGCTTGTCACCTCTCTCTCGAGGCTTGAAGCCTCATGGCAGCTTTTACTTGTTTGCCGCTCTTCCCACTGCCTTCCCTTGCATCTGTCTCTCGGTTTCTTTTTTTCTTTTCTTTGTTTTTTTTTCGCATGATTTTTATATCTTTAACTTTTTACCCGAGATTTAATGTATATGCTTTCGTTGTCATTAACGATTCGTATTGTGCCTTGTCTTCCTTCATATTGTGCGGGGGCTGTTACCTCTCAAATATTGGGTGAGACCGGGATAGAGACACAGTAGCGACTTTAACGGCGTGCTGTTAAGCTTACCTTCCTTGATAAGTAATCGGTTTGTAACAGAATTAGTTTGCCGTTGAATTCTTGAATGGTTCTCGGGCAGTGGGAAAAGGCGGGTTGAGTCATGAGTGACAATGCAAGAATGATATATAGCAATGGACACAGGGACGGCCCCAGATACAGATCACCGTGTTGTTCAGCATTCTGTAAACGTGATAAGATCAGTGGGAAGCATTTATGATGGGCTTTTAACACCTACCCCCTCCGTCCCGCCCCTTCCCTGCCCCCACTTATAATTTTTTTTTTAATTTTAATTTTTAAATACAAAAAGTTGTTGTATGAATTATTATATTCTTATTAAATTAAAAAAATAAAATAACAATTCTCATTAATTTTAAAAAAAATATTTTTTATTTACAATAATTTTATTCTTATTTTTTATTTTTTAATAACAACTCTCATTATTCTTATTAAATAAAAATATGTTTATGTGATTTTATTAAAAATATTTTATATATGAGGATGGAAGGAGTAGGATGCATTTGTGGCTGTCAGGCTGCTTAGAAGCGCGAATTCTGGTGATATATAGGGCTCCTGTTTTTACGTGTCTACGTATGACGTGGTTGGGCCCATTATATTGAATGCGTTTTGGATTGATTATACGGTATATAGATATCCTGATTAGAGAAAGGCGAGGGAATGAAGCGTGGTGGTTTGCAGTGAATACAATACCAACTTGTGAGGATAAAATTAAACTGGGTGGCCAGCAAGCACTTAACAGATTTGGTGTTAGATTTTCGAATTAACATTGCATTGAAAAACACAGAGGAATTCGTACATGTGTGGAAGGAGATTAGGAGAGAAAACAAAGGCTACCCTATCCGAATACAGTGGTAAAATTGAAAGCAACCATTGTGGGTGGGTTAAATGATTCAATGCAGCGGATAAAGGGTCGGTGTTGACAATCGGAAACAAGCCAATTTTCGAAGTGTGATATTAAAACCGTTGCAAGCTGGGTTAGGGCTGTTTCGGTGGAGAATTTTCAACGTCATCTGTTATTAGTATACAATGCCATTATTGTTCGTCACGAAAGTTTCTCCTGTAAGATTCGGGAGAGAAGATGGAGACGGGGAAGATGCGAATGCACTTGCGCGAAAGTTGTGGGAACGGAAGAAAGGGTAGTCAGTGTTACAGGCGGCCCGGTGGGACCCGACATTTAATAAGTAAGGATGTATATTTTTTTTTGTTTACACAATTATTCAGTGCCTAATAAATTCAATCGAGCCTCCGTGGAAATTCCGCATTGGACCGGCCCGTTATCACTGGATCGATGCCCATCCCCACAATTCGCACTGTATTCCTTCTTCTTCTTCTTGTTTGTTTGTCTGTTTGTTTTTTTTTTTTTTTGCGACGAGATCTTCATACCGTATTTCTCGTGATTCCTGGACGTTTAATTCCAAGCTGTTTACTTTGTTTCATGTTTCGTTTAGAGGCTTGGATGGAAATTACGGTGGGAAGGGAATATCTGTATCTTAAAATAACGAATATTTTATTTAAAAAAAAACGAATATTCGTCCGATACAAGGCCCAAGAAGTGAGAACGCGTAATGGTTAATGTAATCTTTTAGAGTTTACTTATTATTGTTAATTTTTGGGGCGGGGTGGGGAATTCTCCTTCAAGGAGGCAGAAGCTCGTCTTTTGTTATTCAGGCCCAGTCCAACAAATTAAAATATTTTAAACGAGTCGGCCCAACAGTCAGGCAGCCGATTAGTAGACGGGAGGAAAGGTAACAATAAAAATCGTGAAGCCATTTGTTGAAAATAAAAGCTAGTGAAATGCATCTATGTTGTTTTTTTTTTTTTTTTAAGTTTTTTGTTTGGGGGGGGGGGGGTGGGGAAGAGAATCATAAATGATGGGAAAAAGTGTTGACTGGGTTGAAGTAGAGAGGGAGGGGCATGGGGAAATGGGAGGGAGGGTGGGAGAAAAGAAAGAGGGAGGAGGGAATAAAAAGGGGGATGAAGAAGAGAAGGAAGAGGGACAAAATGCAGATAGAAAGGGGGTATGGCAGTATGGATGGAGGGAGGCGAGGGAAGAACAAGGGACGGGGGAGGGTGTAAAAAGGCTGCCATGAAGCGGAGCAGAGAAGGCAACAGATCCGCGCACTGTGTGATGGTCTTGTCACTGTCCTTGTCCGCTGTCGCCTTCCTCTATTATTTACCCCCTCCCCCCCCGGGTTCTTCCCTCTTCCTCCCTTCTTTCCCCCTCCCCCTCCCAAGGAACAAGGGAAATGGTTTTTTCGGTGCATCTGCACTGGAATGAGTGCTGCCATATTTTTTTTCATTTAAGCCACTCGTTTCATTCAAGAAATAGTAATCATTATCTTCATCATCATACAACTGCTGGTCACGCTCCCCCATGACCGGCATTTAAATTATATTTTTCAAATAAATTTGTAGAACATTTTAAATTAAAACAGGTCGTTCATATAATACGAAATAAATGTAGTTATTTGTGTTATTAGAATTATTTATTTATAACTGTTAAATAGTTTTATTCTAAACATTTCAACGCTGTTGTTTTTTTTTATTTTAAAAGTATCATTAAACATCATTCCACATATTGTTATTGATATTCTTAGTTTTTTTTTTGTAAATTTATTGAATTTTTACTCCATATTCGACTTTTATTAATTCTACGTAGTCTCTCCTGCTGGAGACGATGGAAGATTTTAACGATTTTCCTGCCTCTTTCTCTCATCGTATTTTCTCTATTCAAATCTTAAATCGGCCCAATTCATCTATTCTATTCTTTTTTTTTTTTTTAAGAACAAAAACTCTCTTACCTGTGCACCCCTCCATTCCATTCCCTCGAATCTATGAATAGATGGTCAATGTCCGTGCTGGCATCGTGGTATGAGATGCAAAATCTAGTAGGGAAGTGAACAGAGAAAATATAAGGATCCGTGGGTTGCCGGAGTGGCCTCTTGAATGATCAAAAAAAGAACGAGAAAGTGGAAGGGACGGGACAAGGCCACAAGGGGTGTTGGCTCTGAGGAATCGCGTACCCGTCCCTGAGGGTGACGTCATTTCCTGTCGGAGGAGGAGGGCACGTACGCAGCGCGGCTTCCATAATTGCCGACATATTAATGTGTCCCATCCTAAGTTTATGCTTTTAATTGGCCCAACCCTCCGTTTCTCCCCATTCTTATTCCCGTTTTACCCTTTCCTCCATCCTTTTCATCATTTCTGTTCACCCCTTTCTCCTGCACGGATCGCCTGCCACCTCTTCGTATCAAGGTTCTTACATCCCTTTTTAACCTTAATTATTAATTAATACAACTTTTCCCTGCCCGCGGTTAAATCGGAACCGTTTCCAATAGTTTATATCTTTCAAATAAAACTAAGAATTCTACTCCCATTCACAAAGAAAACTATACCAGGTGTGATATTCTCTTATAGATTCGAGCATAGATACTTTGCCCCGAGAAAAAAAAAAAGTAAAATGTCTGAAACACTAATAAAAACAGAGCTGTAAAAGGGCGAGTACGGGAAAGGGTTTGGGAGTTAAAGAGTGAGACACCTCTTTTGTGCAGACCGAGAATTGATGACCACATCCTCTCCCGCTCTCTTATCTTCCACCTCCACCCCTGACAAATTTTTTTTTTTTAATGTATTCTTCATCCTCATTATACTGCTATTTTATTAACCAATCTGTGTATTTGTATCTTACTTTGATTTGAATTTCTGCTCCCCGGTCAAATCGTTTCTTTTTTATCACGCTTCTCTCCCTGCTTCTCCTGTAGATCATCTTCCGTTTCATTCTCCACCATTAGCTACTCCCGAATTTTACGAGCTCGCAGCTCACTGTTCGTGAGAAATTATAAAGTGCGCAGGAATATGGAATTTGAGGAGCAGGATCAGGAGCACGAAGAGGCGGAGGAAGAAATGGGGATTCCCGTGCCCCCGCCGAGTTACGACTCAGTTCGGTCAAAAAGGGGCGCTGCCTTCGGAGCCGAGGGAGGCTCATCCGGCCTGACCAGGGCTAGGAAAGGCGGTCCTACTGGAACGGTCAGGTACAGGGAGTGTCAAAAGAATCACGCCGTCAGCATCGGTGGCCACGCCGTTGACGGTTGTGGTGAGTTTCTGGCTGCGGGAGAGGAAGGCACACTCGACGCTCTCAAATGCGCCGCCTGCAACTGTCACCGCAACTTCCACCGCAAGGAGATCGAGGGGGAAACTAGCTCCTTTCACCTGCAACAGCCGCACAACCCCCAGTACCACCATCAATTTCCCCCTTATTACCGGGGGCCGCCGCCGCCGCCAGGAACAGGATACCTGCATCACCATCTGACAAATCCGGCGATGGTACATCACCGCCCTTTGGCTCTACCAGCAGCGGCATCCGGCGGGGGACCGAATAGAGAAGAGGAAGACATGTCGAATCCGAGCAGCAGCGGTGGAGGCGGGGGTTTCGGTGGTGGAGGGAGCGGCAGCGAAAGGAAGAAAAGGTTTAGAACGAAGTTCACGCAGGAGCAGAAGGAGAAGATGCTGGCATTTTCGGAAAAGGTGGGGTGGAGAATCCAGAAGCATGACGAGCCGGCGGTGGAGCAATTCTGTGCGGAGACTGGCGTCAAGAGACAGGTACTTAAGGTTTGGATGCATAACAATAAAAACACTCTCGGTAAGAAACCCTAATTTCAATTCTTTCTTTTCATTTTTAAGACCACAGGAGATGAGCGAGTGAAGAAAAATAATTGTACTAGAAATTTAATTAATGTAATGCTGGCTAGGGTTCTCGCTCTTGCTCATCATTTCTGCTTAATTTGCGCCTAAGTATTGAAATTAGTTGTATGCCATTTAGTTTTTGTTTCATGGTTTTTTTTTGGGTGGATTATCTGATAGCGATCTCCGCCTCTCCTGTATGACATGAGTGTACAACACCCTTGATGAGCTTGAGCTAGGTGCAAGCATCATAGGAGGCATCTGGTTCAGAATAACAGGAAGCGAGGTTAATTGCGACATTTCAGGGAAGAGAGACAAAAAAGAGCGAGTAGGAAGTAATGGAAGAAAGAATGAAGATGGTGGTGATCTCATGTGATAATGGATGCAGGCAGATGAATCCATGGGAATTCAACGTGCATAGCATGCAAGTGCAAAGCTGTTCCATTTCGGCTGTGTTTATTCACATCTGTCATCTTTTCCCGCTTTTCCTCCGAGCCCTCTCACCGCTGGGAGAGTAGTTTCTCCTTTTCTTCTTCTCCTTTTTTCTCCACTTCCCTAATCTTTATCCTTCATTTATTTTATAATTTAAAAAAATTGTTTAATAAAATGATAACGAATGGTAAAGATTTGAGAAATGGAGGAAAAGGAGGGAAGGAGAAGGAGACACCCTCCCCCCACCGCTTCACTTCCCCCTCATTTCTCTCTCTTATTAAACTCGCAACCTTCTTCTTTGCATTCTAGATGCTCTCCACGCACGTCACCAGAAAATATATCATCACTCACTACATCTTCAAATCAGATCCTACCTAAGTACCCATATTCTGTGATTATTTACTCCCCTCTAAAATACTTTACCTCGGTAAATATTGGGGGGAGAGAGAGAGAGGGATGTGAAAATTCCGAGTAGGACCATCGGAGTATGACTTTCTCCAACATCTATCTGATGAGATCATCTCCTCTCAACTTTATTCTATAAAATTCTTGAAGATTATCGGAGCATCCCGATCTCACATGTTGTGCGTGACATCGGGCCATGTATTCTCCCACGTTGCACCATTTGAATGCTCATTCTCGACACTTGGGTGAACAAGACACCTGGTCCTCCATTAATTGTTCTATTCTATGCACGAACTTTCAATAAATTTATACTTTTTTCATGTTGGCTCGCTGCTACTTTCTCTTTACGGGTTGAAAAAAAACTGAGGGCTCTTGAATTTGAGGAAAAAAGAGCAATCAGACATTTATTTTTGGATGCATGGTGCGGGAGAAAAGAGGAAGGACTGAACTGGAAGAAAGTTAAGAAGTATGTATTCATAATAATTTCCCACAGCACACTCGTACACTGTCAACGTACAGTCGCATCATTGATCGCAGCAGCTTGCAGATGTGCAGTTTTTTTTTTTTTAAAAAAAATTACAATTGCGAGATGAACAGCCCATTATTCCTGCTTTGTCTACTTTTCCGTTGCTTCTATAGTGTTCGTTTCTTATCTCGTTGATTATTCTATTTTGAAAGAGAAGACTCACCCACGAGTAACCGGTTCTAGTTTTAACTTTAGCTCCAAATGTTGATGTCAGCGTTGAACCTCCGTGGTTCTGTAATTTTATTTCTGAAGTTGAATTGCTATATTCTTATCTATAAAGAAAATTAATATTGGATCCGCCAAACTGGTAAATGTATCCCTAATTTTCTTTCTTTCTGTTTTTTATAGGTGGTAACCTTAATTTTCTAAGTTCCAAGCTTTCTGGTTCAAATCTTTAGCAATACGCATCAATCCTCAAGGCCATTAAGTCTTCAGATGCTGGGGATAGACTACGAGGCTAGTGGTTAATTTCGATATTTTACCAGTTTGAGCTTGTCAAGCCAATCCAGCTAATTAGAAAGTACTCTTTTTGGTTCTATAAATAAGGCATATTTTAAAAAGTTTATTTGATCTCATTTATAAATTACGGTAGACTTTTTAAGTAATATTTAAAAAATATTTTTAAAATTATCCTTTATGAAAGAAAAAAAGTAATATAACATCACCTTTTGAATTTGTTATATAAAGACATATCTGAAATTTTACATACTTTTATTTTTTATACTTATTTTATATTGGTATTGATGAGATTTATGAAAATGACTTATAAAAAAAATTGAAGAAAATAATATGGTATCACTTTTTAAATTTATTATATGAGAGCATGTTTAAAATTCTACACACTTTAATTTTTTTATATTTTTGTTAATTAATATTGATAAAATTTATAAAAATAATTTATAAAAACAATCAGAAGACCATGTTTTAGTTGATCAAATCGAATGGAACGCTAAGCATAGGGGTTGAGTTTTGCCAGCTTTGATTTGATGGCCGTGGTTATCGCATATGTGTGTTATGCGCTTGCATGCATGCAGCTTTATATTTAATTCTAGAAAAACGGTATCCATCAAATCAAATCATCTTGTTTTCATGGGCTAATAATTGACATGGAGTTTTGGTTTCCTTTTTTGAAAGTGCGGCTCTCGCTAAAACCTCCATTTCTACCTCTATTTTAATAATTCTGCGGCTCAGGCTACCTTTTTATATCAATCCAAGAATCGCACGTGCTGTCGATACGATGGTGGAGTAAGTTAACTCGTTGCATTCACTTGGATATTGCTGCTATTAATCTGGTCTGATTGATCATGCGTAATAATGTTTTCCATGTATTTGTAACTAATAATCTAGATTTAGTGTTTTTTATAATTCTGTACGTAGAGAGCACGCCGATGATGAATTATTAATGTTGTGATTAAAATGATAAAAACGGCTTAAAATATTGAGGGACATTATAAACTTCCAGCTAAAACATGATTTGGGGTGTTCTAAACATTTACTTGCATAGCAAGAAGTCGTGTACTTGCATTTAAAAATTAAATAACCTCGTAAATATTAGTTTAAATAACAGCTCATGTTGCCCAAAAACAAGATAATATTATCAAAGCAAGCATCAAAATAAGCTGATCTATACATAATTCAAGTAATTCAAACAACTTTTGATTTATATAACTCAATCAAGTATCAAAACAAACATTCATCACAACAATATATAAATCAGAGCCATGATTTAACTATAAAGCTACATGTAATTTTCTATTTCCTGATCCTTCTTTTCTTTTAGACATTTTATCAAATATCTCACGTGTGCATAATGTGCTAACAATAAATCTAAACTCTAATCTCCTCTAAATTTCATCCCAACATTTAATTTGAATTTACAAAGGTGCAAAGAACGTGCAAAGATGAAGAAGAACCGAGCAAGATATAGAGAAAGAGCTCTCAATTGATTTGAACTCCCAAGTGCCTAGCTACTATCGTGAAGTTGCGAGGAACAAAGTGTGAAGCGACATAGAATATTGTGCGAGGTTTTGGGATTTGGGTTCTGTGATTTCTTCGATTAAAAATGGCTTGGTGGGGGGGGGGGGGTTGAGGTTCTAATCTTTGAGGTTTTAGGTTTTGAGCAAGACGTATGTGGGTGAGAGGTTTTTTGCTTGTCTAATCTCTGTTCGAATGAAAACTGATGAACAGGGGTTTGTGATTTAAAATTTAAAGAATATATAGGATGATTCACTTAAAAAATCATCCTATAAGAAAAATGTATAAAGGGAGGTTCTATAATACAACCGTCCTCTATGTGTTTATATACAAAAAATTACTTTTTAACTTTCAAAAAGACAAGGCTGTGTTGGTCGAGGAACTATCCTATATTGTCATATGGAATGGTTTTTTGTACAATCATCCTTTATGTGATCTAACATTTTTCAAGCTTATGTTGCGCCTCCTTATATAAGATGATTGTGAATACAACCTTCCTATACATATTAATAGTTTTATAGTAGTGTGCATAATTTTAGAGATAATTACGTAAATCGATTGCAGTAATGATGATCAAGAGGAATGGCCGAGCAGAGTAGAAACGATTTTCACAATAACGATGTGGAATTATGCATATCTTTCGTGCTGAGAAACAGCAGCAAGGGTCATTTTTTATTATGTCTGTTGCATTTATCCAATCTCTTGTATTTTTTTGAAATATATATATATATATATATATAACAATAAAAACAAGGCCTTTCATTTTTTTTAAAAATATTTTGCCACCGACAATATTCAGTTTCTTGTCTCATCTTCATTGATGTCGAGCAATGTATTAGCTTTTGCAGCATTTTGTTTTTAAACGGGAGAAGACGAATCGTGCATAAATTAGCCAAAGTTTCATTTACCTTCTTCAGTGAATCATAAATGTATTTTCTTGAGTAACATAAGATTGCATGAATATGTCTCCTGTCTTCACACACACACACACACACTCTCTCTCTCTCACCTGAAAAAATATATTTTTTTATGTGTATTTATTCTTCCACTTATAATTTTATTTTGGCCAACATATTTTCTACAAGCCTAAATGTATACAAGTATGCCATATCCAAATATGCATACACAAAAATAAAGTGCCATAAAAAAATAATTAGTTTACACAGTGTATTTCTAAATAAGTCGAAACAAAAAAAGAGGAAAATTTATGTTTTAAAAATTGATCAAAAGACGAGACAAGCTTTTAGTAGAAAAGTCCTTAAATATATGGAAGTGCATCTGGTGAGGTGTTTTGCGGGGAGAGAGATGGTTGAGTGAGTTAAGATCTTGTGGAAACGTGGCAGCCCATGATTTGATAGCCTGAGGCCCGGTTGGGCCTAACGGTACCAACACCCGCCTCATGCCCCACTCACAACAATTCCATTATCGATTATGACCCAATGAAACTTATTTAACTTTTGAACTTGTAACCAAATGGCTGGCCTGAGCGGAATGAAGGCACGGCCTAGGCCTCATTAGCCTTCCGTGTGAACCTTTTAACCAATAATGCTTGATTTGGGTAGAAAGAAATATAGGAAGCAGGAGCAGGAGGAGGAAAACTGGTGAGGAATTTCCAAAAATAGTAAATTTCTTTATAATTTGTAAGTTTTTTCTCTCACTTTTATTTGTTCTCTATTTTTACATCCATCCAAACAAAAGGTAATGAATGCAAAACTTGAAACAAAGACAATACCGCCTTGGGGCATAAACTGACATTTCAAAATCCTGGAATGAATAACGTACTATTCAATGCAGTGCTTTTTATTGTTTCTTAATTTTACATTTCTTTTTACTGAGTTCATGATTCGTGGTAAGAACTGAACGGCTTAATCTTATGATTCTTCTCCACAAGAAGCTAATTAAAGACTCAACTGGTTACATCACTCGGTTCACGGGCAAGAAGTCATTTGCAAGAATAAGAGTGACGATTGGCATTTTTGCATTCAAAGCAAGAATGCTGTATGGTGGTGCGGCCATGCGGAGCAAGTGAGAAGGAAAGAAGGCAGGGAGAATCGAGGTAGCAAAGGTCCTCTCTAAAGCGTGGATGGTCCACTGGAGTGTGAAGTGTGAACCTGCAGCCACAAGGAAAGGATTTCATGAACTATGCTCTCTGGTTTGGTATGAGTTTTTAAACTTTAACCATTCTTTTTTAAAAAAAAAAAAAATAAGATGGACCATTTTTTGAGGGGGTCTACTTATAGACAAGTTGGCCTGGTAGGATATCTTGTATATTCCCCAAGCCCTGGGATACTCGAAAACAGAAACGCACCACGCAAGTATGATATCGTTCAATCAACAATAAACAAATTGATTTGCACTATAAAGAATAGTTTTGGAATTCACATGTAAATCACACCATACTGACCCTTATAATTTTTGTTCAACTTTTAGACCATAAACACTAAGGACAAGAACTGATCTTGTGACAAACCAAATAATGAGTACAATGACTTCCCCAATAGCACATAGTACAAGCAGCTCCAGACCAGACCAAGGACTAACATGCAGTGGGAAAAAAAAAATCCAATGTTTAATAAACACCCAGGATATTTCATCATTCACCAACCTAGTCTTGTGCGAAAAGATGATACATGGTGACCGCCTTTGTATAGCTGTGCGCATCAGTGAGGTTGTAATGCTCCTTGAATACTTTTAACAGCATTGTCATAATGAAGAAAGCCCATGAACCAAAACTCATGGTTGTCAACAGAGATAATCTGTATATATTTCTCGGACGGTTTGCTTCTACTTGTTGATGGATTCACTGCTCTCAGCTGATACAATGGAATAACCACCTGTGCATGGGTGCAGATAAAAAAAAAGGGAGAAGTAAAAGAATTATATAACATTTAAACTTACCAATTAATAAATAGAACAGAGATGAAGTATGCACTCTGGGTTAGCAACCATGACCTAGGGGAACCTCAACTAATATTTGTCTAGTTAAGTTATCGAGAAGCGAACGATTAGTTACCTCCGCCTACTAGGCTATTTTAAGATCGATTTGTATTACCAACCAGTGAAGTACCCACTACATAGTGACAAGCTAATGAAGTAGCTTCCTGACCAACATATCCCATGGGAAAAATAAAAATTCCAACATCATGAATGAAAGTCCATAGAAAGAGAACACCAAACGAAATATTCACCATCTTAAACATATTTTAATAATCTATTTCCATTTCATAAGTTTTGTAAGAATTTATATTAGCAAATTGCAAATTCCTCCTCCTTTTTTGATTTTAGACCATCAGAATTTAAAAAAGAAAGAAATCTTTATCCCTTTCCTTAATATTTCTATTACAACGCTATCATTTGCCTAAGAAAGTTAGAATAATGATGTATCAAGGACACATTGGTTAGCATGTGGGACCACTTCTGCACACACAAAATCTTACTCATAAATAATGCAAAATTGCTGAAAGTTGGCACCTAATCTCAGAAGTAAATTAAATATGCTGCTTTAATAGCATTGTTATAAAAAACGTAACACAGACTACATTTGAATGACCTTTTCCTCAAATATTCAATGTCAATTTTATATATCTACCATTAGCAGATAATCTTGGCAAGGGAAGCCGTTTAAAAATATTGAATCAGATAAATATGCTAAGGTGGAAAATGTTTTTAATTCTTTTTATTAAAGGATAATACCACACAGAAACCTCCAGAGTACCTTATAATAGCTCCATTGACTCTCCTCACCAACTTTGTAAGAAAGTGGATTGTCACTGCAAAATGCTAGCTTCGCTGTTGACAGATATAAAACTCCCATTACTGGTCCAGCTGAAGTGGATAGGTAGCATGCAAATGTTTTCAAAAGTTGCTCCTCTGGAACAGTCTCAAAAGTTTGTCTAAAAATCTTTTCATAGCCACCTTCTGCAAGAACTTTTGTTCCCTGAGCAATCCTTCCCACAGCAGCATCAGCAAAACTAGGACCTGTTTTCACTGTTGCACAGATGATCATCCGGTCACACGGCATAAAACAATTCAGGCACAAAAACCTATCAATCTAAAAGGCACACCAGGGGGACATGACATGATGCAGGAACAACAACACGACAAGACACAATGTTTATATAATTAAAATGCAATTTGACATGCTGTGTCATCCTCAATAACAGCTAATTGCCAGCAACTGAAGAATTTCACTTTTGACAACAGAGAAAATAATCAAGCGCAGAAGAAAATTGAAGACAAAATCTAGTGATAGCCATGTTCAGAAGAAGATGACAACACATCCAAATGCTATCATTCAAGTCTCTATTCATTTTGATGTTATTTTTGAGAAAGGCGGCGTCAAGTAAACACCATTTAATAGTTACACTTTCTCAGCAAAATAATTAAGGGTGTTACTAAAATATTGTAGTTTGAGTTTCTGTCTTACTAAAGTGACGTCCATGGTACTGTAGAAGAGTAAAATGATTAAGGGTCAACATGCAATAAAAGAATTCCCAACAGCAGACAAGAACGCCACAAGATTTAAAACATAGCTGGTATAATACATACAGTGCTGCCACATATTCCCAGCAAGATCCTCAGCCTTCTTGGTAGTCTCTGCTGCTTTCTTTCCCCATTTCCCAAGAACATCTTTCACTGATTCTAAGGTATCTGCATAAAACAATAACTTCCAGTCATTCTCGACGCCCACAGTCTCCAAACTCAGATGGGACTTGCATATCTGCAAGAATAGTGGAGTAAAACATGGATTTCAATTCTCACTCTTGACAGAAGATGACGGGGCTGGCGCCGGTGCAGGAGTCACGTACGGATTAGATTCTTTGGGCATCGTAGTGGCAGCATCTTCCGAAATCGTCGCGCGGACTTCGGGGTCGGTAGTAGCGTTGACCGGTTGATGGGACACGGAAACGGAAGTCCAATTTTCCTGAGGTGGAGCAACATCCTTGGGATCGAGTTTCGGATACGGAGCGTAATCGGGGGAGTGAGAGTCTTTGGGTTGTGAGAGATTGGGTTCTGATGATGGCTTGTGGGGGTGGGTTTGATCAGCACTCATGGTTTACGCCTTTGAGGTTTTCTCTACTTCGGAACGGAAGTTTCCGGACCCTATATCAATGGGGAAGATGGTGCTGATGTAAAACCCCGATTTCAACTATTTTAGACTCTTGTTCGACGCGAAGAAGTATCCTGGGGAGAAATTTTATAGGGGGAGGAATTCAGGAGGCGAGGGACTTCAACTCCAAACCGGGAATCTTGGATATCGCAAATTTGTTTCGGGCATAATAATCGAATAATTGGACTTCCTTCACGCGATACCTAAAATTGGATGGAACAAGCAGACAATTATATTAGCCCTTAGAAGTTGAGCCCAAGTAAATATTCAACTCTCTTTTGGATCGCCCTTTAAGCCCACGTCATTAAATAAATGATGGTGACCGTTGGATGAGAAAAAGGCAAACTTTAACGGTGGATTTGTATTAGGACACGTCACTCAGAACACCGCGTCTCCTTCAAAGAGCCAAGCAATGTAGGAATGTTGATGGGAGAACGACGAATCCGAGTACTGGTGTCATAGCCTGGACTGGCTTTTACTTTCATTTATTACTTTTAAAAATTATTTTGTAGCATACTTTTTAAAATTATTTTGTAAAGTAAAATGAAAATAAAAATAATTAAAAAATAGGTTTAGAATTAAAAAAATATATTAATAATAATGATCATAATCAATTAATGATAATAACTAATAATAAAAATTGATTAAAATAACTATAATTTTTAATAATTAAATATAATGTATTTTTTAAAATAAAACAAAAACAATTTAAAGTTATTTTTATTTTTTAAAAAATAAAAAATAAAATAGCTTTAAAAATAATTAAATAAAAAACATTTTTTTAAATAAGTTTTTAAATTTTTGTTTTCAAAACAAAAAACAAAACACTCTCTTATTCGCCGACCTTGATAACGCGGTGGTTGTCGTTGTCCTTGTTTTGCGACCTCCGTGAAGTTCTTCTTAGCCGTCGTATTTGTTTTAGGGTTTCTATCTTCTTCGATGGCTGCCAATTCGCACGGAGGTGGTTCCTCTTATGGCCATGCTGGCCCTTATCGTTCAAGGTAGCTTTTCTGTTCTTGTTGGCCGAATTTCCAAATAAATTATTTTTCTTTTTTTTGGAAATAATTTCCAGGGATTGATTTAATTCCTATACACATATCCATATATGAGGATGCAGAGAAGGGCTCACCACCAGATCAGTTAGTGGTTCGAATGAGATCCAATTGCGTATTGATCCGATGGAATTGGATGATGAGATCAGCGGTCTTCGTGGTCAAGTTAGAAAATTGAGAAATGTACGTTTTGATCGATTTGACAAATTTTTCTTTTATTTTCTTTTCTTCATAAATGAGTTTTCGCAAAATTATGAAGGCTGATAAGCGACTAGGTATTCAAATTGTAACATACCACCTGCGTCATGCCCCAACCCTTTCGTTGGGGCGTTTTACCGACTTGGTGAATGCAGTGTCATTAATCAAAATCCATTTGCAAACAGCTTACAAGAGTTATTCGATCCGTGTATCCCATCTTATTGGGGTCTATCTATAATTACGTTAGAGAGGATTCTTGATTTTTGTGAATTATTGAGCTGTGAATTCAAGACTGTTATGCTTGAACTCTCTATTGAAACTGATCCGTTGGTTAAGAGATCGGTGAGATATGCTTTAGCTATCTTTCTTATTTAAGTATTCTTTTTCTTTGAAAATTCATGTTTCATCCATTTGCATCTTCTACAATTTTTTGTTGTTCTTTTCACCTGCTTTGCATGATTACTTATAACTAACTACAAGAGACAAGCTTTACTAAAAAGGAGAAGACTTATACACAGTTTCTTACATCTTTTCTATCGAGTTTTCCAATAAATGCATGAGAATTGTATGATCTTTACGAAGAATTGTATGGTTTTTACAATGAATGCATGATTACTTTAACTAACTACAAGAGACAAGCTTTATTAAAAAGGAGAAGACTTATACACAGTTTCTTACGTCTTTTCTATTGAGTTTTCCAATGAATGCATGAGAATTGTATGGTTTTTACAAAGAAGTGTATAGCCCTTAATTAAACTATATATTGGTCACGTTCTTTTGAAAATTCTTATACTTATGACATGTTTTTTCAAAAATATGGTACTTAAGATATGAGAAATTATACCTAGTTCTAATCTTAAAAAATTCCTTTTTCCCCATGGCTAAATTCTTTACAATGAAGGGATGAAAACACGGCAAATGGACTTGGAGTGAATTGTACTATTTGAAACTCAGAAGGGAAGACTAATTCATGTTTTTGGTTTGGAGAAGATTTTTGTGAATATAAATGCTTGTTGTACGCTACACACATTTCCACCAAATGTTTTGTTTTCCATTCTACAATATATTACACCCTGTAGAATATTATATGGATTTTTGTTATTAATGATGCTTTTTAGAGTCAATTTTCCAGCCTTAACTATTTTTTAACAGCTTGACTTGTTCTTGAGTATTTGAATTCTATCCTGGTAGATATTTCCTTTTATTTTATGGAGAATAAAACTTCAGGACCTGATTCGAAAATTAATATCTAATTCTCCCTTTGTTTTATCTAATATGATGAAGCCACATTATGTATCGAAGTTTTTGTTTCCCTTTCTGCATCCTTAGGTTGTTAGACAACTTAATATTTTTATTGTGCAGGTTGCCGAGGAGATCGGGACAGAAGTCAAGTACCAGAAAGATTTTCTGGAACAGCTGGTACGTCAATTTTGAAATAATCTTTGTTTGCCCTTTTTCTTTGCCCCCTGTATGATATTTCGACTTTTAGCAGTGAAAATGAAGAGTGCAGTATACCTAAAGTTGCTCAATTATGAATCAGGCAACATATATTCACAGTAGAAATTTTGATGCAGCTCTACTCTGTGTAGCTAAAGTGATAATTATGGTAGAAAATGCATCTCAATGGGAAATTTAGGGTCAATGTTGTGTAATGTTAAAAGGGAATAGCACGCATTGCTTATATCTATATTTTGAACTTTTGGCTTAAAAGTTAAAACACCAAAATAATTCTTTGCCATGGATCTTTATTACTTTTTCAGAATGCTAGTTAGGACTTAGGACTCCGGCTTGATTTGTATGAAGAACAAGATGGCTGAGGAAATGACCAGTATTAGCTGCCTTGTGTGTAAATGTGTTGTCATAGAGATGAATTGATAAGAAGTTTGTCCTACATTTTTTAAAATCCTTGTAATAATTTTTAAAACTTTCCGTTAGAAAGTGAAGTACTTCCAGCTGGTTTTTTTCCCCAATGAAAGGGTTCATGTAAAATCAGCTTAGATGTGACATGGGGATGCCACCCCTATTCTATCGTTACCCACCGCGGTAGCACAGTAAAAGGGTGGTTGATCATAGGTGCAAAAATCAAAATTCATATCATGAGCCTCCCATTTTCTCAAGCACAGCTATTTAGCTTCATCTATTATATCCTGGCACAGATGTCCATTAATGTCATTAATTTCGCTGGCATTTCACTGATATTAATTTCTCCTTTGAGTTGCATGTTTTTCTTTGTAATTGTTCCGTCGGTGGTCTCTTGTCTCGTATTTAGCTGAATACTGTCCTATAGTTTTCATTTGCTCACATTTCACTTGTAACTGTTTCACTACAGCAAATAACAGTGATGAAGGCCCAGGCTGGGGTGAAGAATAATTTAAGAAGATTGAACAAGAGCATAATCCAAAATGGTTCAAACCATATTGTTCATGTGATTGTCTTTGCATTAGTCTGTTTCTATGTAGTGTACCTTTGGTCCAAAATGTCCAGAAAATGAGGAGCGAGATCTGAGGGTGGTTTGGCTGTCTGGTCTTGTGGAGGAATACTTGACTTCAGACCTTCGGACCACGAGACCACCCTCACGATGCCTGATTCTGTTGTAAAGAGTAGTTCTACAATCCTTACAGAGTTCATAACTAAATGTTTACCTTACTATTGTAGCCCCCACGTTTGATGAGGTTGATTGATTTCCTGTGCATTGGTTGTGTGAAAACAGAAGTTCTTTTTTATATGCCCCTTGATATTTTTCTCGCTTGGATTAACGTTTTATCTTACGTACAGTAAAATGTGATTTTCTTTCTACTCAGACGAGTGAGACTCTAACAGCTATTATATTCTCATTCATCCTATGCCGTGATACTGGAGGTAATATTTTTCTAATCTTATTCTGAAAAAGAAGGAAAGGATCCCTTGTTCTGTTCTACCGATAAACCTATAAATAATATGTAGTCAAATACATAAGAAATTGTAAAGCATGCCTGCGGCGACTCCAATTTGTTCATCCTTTGTCGCATAGAATGATAGCTTCAGAGGCAGAGAAACTGACTTGTTTAAAGAATTAAGATTCAATGCCCCTGCATTGTACGCGACCGTTCTATAGCCAGTCTCGGAGTAAAATGGAGGGATCCTTGCAATCTGCTCTACTAGTATCAGGCACAGAAAGAATTGACTGTGAGCAATCATTGAAGGCGGCGTGGTTGAGGCAATAACGAACCTTTAATTTGCAATCAGCTGACGTGTCTGAAAATGCCTAGTATAAGCACTACAAAATCAAAATTTGAGGAATTCCAAATCTATTGTGTTCGTGGGAATAAACACACACAGACGGAAAAAAAAAAAAAAAAAACACACACACACACACACACACACAGACGAGACGACGGACTCTGGGATTCACTTGTTTACGTAACGAGTCCCATGGATTATGGAGTTCTTTTGAAGCTTACAGTATAACGTGTAGATGCTCGCGTGATAGTTTATTCTCTTTTCGGTTTTGGTCGATCCCAAGTCCCGTTTTCATTGAAGCTACCCCTGCGACTACCTCTACGACATATACCTCAATTTTCCAAAACTAGGGAAGGTTCGGTGTAGACGTGGTCGAATTTATTTTTATTATACGAAATGCATGCAATTGATTGCTTCAAAAGCACTGTTATTTAAAAAGCCCTGTGTCTGCATGATTAGAGTAGGACTAGAGATTGTCACTCCAAAAGCGAAATAAAATTGTAACGCCATATAAGTTCTCTCCTGCTATTTGACTGCATAATCATATAAAGGGAGTTGTGAAGAGGAGAGAAGAGTTTCAGAATATATAGAGTGTGATTTAAGAAGGCAGCTAAATGTAGCAGTCAATGGAACATGTGGCATCAAAAGAACGTGGTGGGATTCTCTGCTACTTTCGGCCTTCGGACATGTCCCAACATAATTCACCGTAGAGTAGAACCAAACACATAGAATAACTTGATTTTAGTGAATGCATGGTCCAAACACAATATAACTTGTCATTGGCTTCGGATACGCGTTTTATGCTTCCTCTTCTTTCTTTCTTTTTTGTTTCTTTTTCCTCCTTTTTTTTCTTTTTGCCGACGCGTTTTCTGCTTCTGACTTCCGAGAGAATTATGGCAAACGTAAAAAAAAAAAAAAAAATCAAGAAGAAGAAATGTAGATGCCATTTGAAATGAGTTCCTCATAATATTTCATCAAAACATGATTCATGAAATTACTACGAAGGTGAACTGTATTATTTAAATATGCCTCATCCACGATTCCTCTTATCATCATGTACTAAATATGATATAAATACCTGATGGCATATTGCCATTCGCATTAACCTGTCTATGTTTCAAAATTTATGTGTTGTTCTTTTAATCAAAAAATCATTTGGAGGACACCATTACACCAACTTGTTTTCTTTTAAAAATTTTTCGAGAATGTTATGTTGAGATCTGTGAATTTAAATTTTTCTTTTGACCAATACAAGCAATCTCATTATGAAAAGGCATATTTTTTTGGTCGACTTGAAAAGGATATTTAAGTTGGTTGAGATAAACTAAATTAATGCGATGAGATTAAATAAAAACACAGCGGCACCATTCATTTATAAAAACATTTATGTTTTAAAAAGGGAAAATATTCTCCATCCTTTTAATGTGTTTTGATATTAATTCCTTTTTTTTTTTCAAGTGCCTTAAGTTTCATCTGTCTACAGCTTTAGTTTAAGGAATTAAAGATGGCTAACATGTATATAGTCTTTGATACCTCTGCTGTAGACTAATTAAAATTACAGTGTGTTATATAAAAAAGAGCTGAAGACAAAAAAAATAAATAAAAATGGGGAGAATATCAATAAAGAATCCTAGAAGTAATTTGATATCATAAAAGGACTGTTAACAAGTAAACATTAACAATTAACAATATCTAATCTGTTTAGGTCCTTATCAGATATTAAATTCTTTTAAAGATTCATTGATGCTCTTGCAAAAAATTAAGTTGGACATTTTTCCAGAATCCTTAAACGTGCACTAGATAAAGCTTCAAGAAAAAAAAAACACACATACACAATTGGGTAGGTAGATAGAAGGATTGGTAACCATTTCATGTAAATTTGCCTTTACTAATACACAATTAATACTAAAATTAAGGCAATCATAGATTACCAAGATTGTAATTTTTGTAGAAATAAGATCCCAAGTTTTCATAAATCAAAATTACTTAAACATCATTTAATAAACCTTCTATAAGAGTAAAATATTATTTTAAAAGCATGAGATACCTTAAAAAGGTTAAAGGACTCAATCAATTGAAAAATGTTGATGAATGAAAAATAAGGTGATGCATCACGGTATGTGCACATATATCATGGTTGTCCTCCTCTGTGCCATTCTTCATGATGCAGGCACCATAGGCCACAACATGTGGCATGTTATCAGATAGCAACTAAGGCTGACTTTTGATAGAGCCCATTTCTCTGTCTAATGTTCAATTGAGGTGATATAAGTGTTTATAGAAATTTTTTTTATAAAATAGTTAATGGCATGGGTTTTACTTTTAAATTATTTTACACAAGGAAGATGCACATTCAAACACATTTTCATAACTTTTTACACTTCACACAACTTAAGGGCATCCAAAACTCCACACATGTGCCAAAAGCTACCATTAACATCCAGAACATATTCAGTGAACTTATGACTACTTATACAACAAACTACATGCATATAATTTTGCAATTTCAAATTTTTACTCTTCAACCCTGTTAATATCAAAAAAATAGTAAGGGAAGGTTTTAACATTGCATAAATCATAAAATTTCAAATTCAATAATATGACAATATTCCTTATACTTACACCGGTATTTTGGCTCTGTTTACACCAGTATTTTGGCTCTGTTTAACATCTAATCAACTTATATACAATATTCTAGGGCCCAAAATACATCCTAAAATTATAAACAATAGAATAATGCAAGCATAAACAAAATGTATTCCTTAAATGGCAATATCCTATCCATTATATAAAATAAATATATTTTGAGAGGCTTTACAGTAGAAATGGTAATTCCTAAGCCTTCGATGCCTTTTTCCTTTATGCACCTAAGCTAGAGTTTATAGAATATTGAAAGAAATGGGTAAATACAACCACTGAGTAATCAAGGTACACTTATTCTATGCAATTGCATATCAATTGATAAAAAACACATAAATGAAAGTTGAATACTCAAAAATTTGAGATTACATGTAACACAAGTTGTAATTTTACAATCTATCTCATTATCATTTTTCACCAATCAAACCATAAAACATATTACCACAACACAAACAAAAGTGTGACAATGACCCAATTCACAATGTTAATACGTTCCAAATCTCCGTCCAATGTTTGATTAAAGTGGTTTCAATGTATATACAGAGCTTTCTTTTAGTTGTAGCTAATGACACAAGTTTCACGCTCAAATTCATTTTCTATAAAGAGTTGGACACCAAAACACATTTTATCACTTTTTCACATAAAACTCAAAATAATGGTGTTTCAACTTATACACAAGTGCCACAAGCCTACACTGACCACTCAACCAAGCTCAATGAACTCTAAGGAACTAGTACAACATACCACATTCAACCAAAAATATACAGATTACAAATTTCGCCACTCAACCTCATATTTTATAAAACATAAAGGGTAGGAAATCTTTGCACAAACCATTCATTTTCATTTCAAATCATTTCAAATATATATGTTTCTACTTACATAAGTATTTTGGCCTTAACCAAGGGCTTACAACCATAACTCACTAACTCAGGATACAAAATACATATGTGTGACACAAAATCAATGCAAGTAGCACAAAATCAATGGTATATGACCTAGTTGGCAATATAGCAACATAAATACGCGTAAACAAAGCAGGGAGGCATAAAGATAGGATTTTTACCTAAAATCTTATGCCTCAGAATGCTTTTCTCAAATCAGATATGATGAGTTAGGCCTTGAAAATATGGAAAATTAAGATATGAGTACAACCACTCAGTAATTAAGTTTCACTTAATCTATACAATTGCATATCAATTGAAAATTGATACAAATAGGCAAAATCACATAATATAGCACATATGATGAACATGACCACAATTTACAATACTAACAACCATGTGATCGGGTCTAATGTAATTTAACCACATAATGATAATGTACAATATGGGGTCACAATAATATCAATCATGTGCCCCTAACACATGTCAGACCATAATAATAACAATTATGTGGTTGGATCTAAATGTATGATTAAATGCCAAGCTTATACACTCCTGTTACCTTCGATATAAAACCTGTGGCTACATTCTTCACAAATTAATCCAGCCTTTTACTTGTGAGAAGCTATAAGGCCAGGGTCAACTCACTTACTTGTGTAAGTTAGTTTTCCCTAATACTAATAATCATGGAATGTCGTATCCCTAATCTAGTCTCCTCATAAATCGACGGAGACTAGTTAAGCTCGAATTCCTTATAGAATAAGTGAAACAGTTCAAAATCAACCATGAAACAAGGGCTACCTCTTAATTCTAATAATTGGTGCCAAGGCAAGTTCTCAATTTTAATAGTCATTGGCAATATCACATGGATTTAACTATTTACTCCTCTCCCTAAGCAAACTCCCGCCAATAATCATACAATGTATATATACTATATATTCATGCAATTCGACCATCAATCCCATAACATGGATTAATAT